GCACACACACACACACACACACACACACAGAGAGAGAGAGAGAGAGAGAGAGAGAGAGAGAGAGAGAGAGAGAGCCTCAAAATGATTCTTTATGACATTCTGCTATACTTTGTAGATCAGTGCCTTACTCAGCCATTGTCAGAGAAATATCCTCCTGCAGCAGATAGGGACGAATACAGAGACTTAGAGCTGAATATTGTGAAGAGAATGGGAGACCTTGGAACACTCAGCCCTAAACAGGATGTCTTTATCAAATCCCTCCCCTCAAGGTTCAGAGAATCCTGAAGAAGAGGAGGCAGATAGAGTCCTTAACCTTGGGACTAAAGGCATCCCTCTCCTGAGGGCTCAGGTATCGTCATAGAAGGGGGGGGGGGTACAGAATGCTTTTAAGATCCATAGGCAGTGGATGACCACAGTGAAATAGTGTCTGCATATGAAAGGCAGTTGCATATGAATTTACAGAGATTGTGATCAAATGCACAATTCTTTTTCAAGATCAAGCCGGATAAAAATCCCAGCATGGGAGAAGGAAAGGTCATGAAATCGCACCCCTAGGTAGGGAGCTATGAACAGCTGATAGCTGTGGGAAGGAGAGACTCCATTTTCTTCAGGTATATGGCCCTTAAGATGTTACCCATGCTTCAGTAGATGGCCTATACTCATACATATATGGGCAGCACCAATTAGGCTTAGTGGATTTACAAATAAATGTAGCAAGTCTTTATCTGTCCCACCAGCATTCTCTCTGAAAATTCTGCCTAGCTATTGGCCATCTAGCTTTTTATTAAACTAATCACAGGGACATACTTCACACAATTTAAAGTAATATTCCACAACAAATAAAAGCACAAGAAATTGTGAGGAACAGAGGTGAGGGGACAGGAAGGGTGGAAATGGGGAGTGGATTTCACCAAAACATTATATGCATGCATGAAATTCTTTTTTATTTATTTACTTTTAAAACTGTTTAAGTGTTCTTTTTTATTTTTTATTTGTATAAGTGTTTTGCTTGCATGTTTGTGTACCACATACATGCCTGATGTCCACAAAAGCCAGGAGAGGGCATCAGTTCCCCTGGAACTGGAGTTACAGGCAGTTGTGAGCTGCCATGTGGGTACTGGGAATCAAACTCAGGTCCTTTGTAAGAGCAGCAAGTGCTCTTAACCTCTGAGAAATCTCTTTGGACCCATGTATAGCATTTTAAACAACAACAACAAAAAATAACCATTAAAAATTAAATATTTTTTAACTTCCAAGAAATTGGTTTTAGGGCCTGGGAAGATTGTTCATTTGGCAATGCACTTGCAGATAAAATAAGGATCTGAGTTTCAATACCGGGCATGTGCATGAAACACCGGGCACGGGGCTCATCCCTGCACTCTCAACACAGACATGGAGATGGGATCCTCGGGGTTTGCTGATCAGCCATTCCAGTCCATCAATGAACTCTGGATTCCTTGAGAGGTCTTACTTCTAAAAATAAGAGGTGGGGGAGGCTGCCATGCTTCTTTTAAAGATATCATGGGATGGTTCCTACCTAATAACATCCAAAAACAAAACAAGAAACCATTTGTTGACATCATGAAATAAATATCTGTATTAATGAGCATGAACACTTCTATTTCAAGTGGGTCTGTACTATCTTGCACATCTGCCATCTCCGTGTCAAGACCAATCTGAATTGACTGAATTGATGCTAAAGGAGAAAAACTGAAAATCCTTATTCCAGGAGATGAAGGTTGCATGTCATCAA